GTTCCAAACTGGCAGTCGGGGTCAATTCAGCTCCTGCGTGGGCATGCAAATTGACCGGCAGCTAGTTGTCACGCCCTAATAAATAACCTCGCAATTGCTCCGGTATATGGTGTCTCGAGCAGATTACTGGGTGGTCGCGACTTTCTGAGACTTGAGAGAGGGTCTCCCCACTGCGGAGGTCTTCATTGGGGGCTTGTCTGGGATTTGTGACCACCCTGATCTCTGAGACCCCCACTGGGAGGTAAGGGCACCGCGGTTTTGTTTGTGCGTTTTGTGTGTCGATCCGTCTCATTTGGAATTTTGGAAAGTGCACTTCTGTGGTTTGGCTTGGCAGCTGTTTCTGTCTCGTAAGAGACAGCAAACCTTTTGTCTCGGCAGGAGGCGAATGGGTGACCAGCAGACGTGCTAGGAGGGTTACCACTGCCACAACCTGGGAGACGTCCCAGGTGAGGAGGGACCCCAGGGACACCTGGTGGGTGCCCGTCTGGAGGCCGGAGAGGACACGGTGGCTGGCTGGAGGTGTGAGAGACCTCCTGGCCATCTGTTTTTCTGTATTGGTGTTGGCCTTCTTGGTTGAGACGATTAGTGTAGTTGTTTTGTCTGTGTTTTGTGTTTCTTGTTGACAGTTATGGGACAGACTGTAGTGACTCCCTTAAGCCTGACTTTAGACCACTGGACAGAGGTGAAGGACAGAGGCAATGAGTTTTCAGTTAACATCAGGAAGGGACATTGGAAGACTTTCTGTGCCTCAGAGTGGCCAAAACTTGATGTGGGATGGCCACCTGAGGGGACTTTTGACGCGACTACTATTTCTGCAGTAAAAGCTACTATTTTTCAGGAAGGACCAGGGTCACATCCCGATCAACAGCCATACATCGTGGTTTGGCAGAACCTGATCCAGAATCCCCCTCCGTGGGTGAGACCATGGGTTAAGAGACAGCCAGGCTCCCGAGCCCTGGCTCTCTGCAGTTCCGGGCCTAAAACGCCCAAACCAAAACCAAAACCGGACTCGGAAACTAAAACTCCGCCTAAGATCTATCCCGAGATAGAGGAGCCACCTGAGTGGCCAAGTCCGCCACTGCCCCCCCCCTTATCATCAACCACCACAGGCTCCCCCGGCCTCGGCACCGAGTCCAGAACTACAGGGAGCAGCCGGGGCCGGGGGGCTGGCAACTGGCACTCGGAGCCGGAGAGGGTTGAGTCCGGAAGGACCCGACTCCACTGTTTCTCTACCTCTCCGAGCTATAGGTCCGGCACCTACCGAGCCGAATGCAGTCCAGTTCCTACAATACTGGCCCTTCTCTTCATCTGATCTGTTTAACTGGAAAGCTAATTATCCCCCTTTTTCAGAGAATCCTACATCCCTGATTGGACTGGTGGAGTCTATAATGTACTCGCACCAGCCCACCTGGGATGATTGCAATCAGCTCCTCCAGACTCTCTTCACAGCCGAAGAGAAAGAGAGAGTTCTTCTGGAGGCCCGGAGAAACATCCAGAATGCTGCGGGACAACTTTTGCAGAATCTAACTCCAGTAGAGATTGATGAGGCTGTTCCCCTCACTCGGCCCCAATGGAACCACAACACAGCTGCAGGTAGGGAAAGGCTGTCCATCTACCGCCGGGCTCTGGTGTCAGGTCTCAGAGGGGCGGCGAGACGCCCCACCAATTTGGCTAAGGTAAGAAAGGTTATGCAGGAGCCAGAAGAAGCCCCCTCTGTTTTCTTGGAGCGCCTCATGGAGGCATATCGCAGATATACTCCTTTTAACCCCACCTTGGAGGGACAGAGGATGTCTGTCATTATGGCTTTTATTGGGCAGGCTGCTGCAGATATTAGAAAGAAGTTACAGCGTCTTGAGGGATTACAAGACCTCACAATCAGAGATGTGGTTAAGGAAGCAGAGAAGATCTATCATAAGAGGGAAACTCAGGAAGAAAAAGCAGAAAGAGAGAAAAGAGAAAGGAGTAAGGAGAAAGATGAGAGACAGAGAAGGCAGGAAAAGAATTTGACTAAGATTTTGGCCACAGTTATAGATGAGGGAAGAAGACAGGGAAGAGGAGTTAGGCAGACAGGGAACTTGGGCGAGTATTGGAGGCAGGAGCCAAGGAGACCCAGAAGAGCCAGCCAAGCACTGGACAGAGACCAATGTGCCTATTGCAAGGAGAGAGGACATTGGGCCAGAGAGTGTCCCGCCAAGAAGGGACTTAAGGCTCTGGCCCTAGGTAGCAATGAAGACTAGGGGGGTCAGGGCTTGGCCCCCCTCCCCGAGCCTAGGGTAACCCTGAAAGTGGAGGGGACCCCCATGGACTTACTTGTCGACACGGGAGCAGAATTCTCAGTGCTCAAGAAACCCCTGGGGAAGTTGAGAAGTAAGCAAACCATAGTTATTGGAGCCACTGGACAGAACTCATATTCGTGGACCACCACGAGAACAGTAGACCTGGGAAAAGGACAGGTGTCTCACTCCTTCCTAGTGATACCTGAGTGTCCTACCCCTTTGCTGGGTAGGGACCTTTTAACTAAGTTAAAGGCACAAATAAGTTTCACCCCCCAGGGGCCAAAGGTGACATGGGACACTATCAAATCCCCAGTGTTAACACTCTCCCTGAAAACAGAAGATGAATATAGACTGTTTCAGTCTGACACTCAGGGACATCCTTCATCAGAATTGGAAATGGGACCCTGGTCCCTGTTTACTGAGGCCTGGGAAGAGACTGGGGGAATGGGGATGGCCAAGAATGTACCCCCGATAGTCATTGAGCTCAAAGCTGGTGCTTCTCCAATTGGGGTCAGGCAATACCCCATGAGCAAGGAAGCCAGAATGGGGATACGTCCCCACATTGAAAGACTATTACAACAGGGAATTTTAGTCCCCTGCAAATCTCCCTGGAATACACCTCTGTTGCCAGTAAAGAAACCAGGCACTGGAGATTACCGGCCGGTTCAAGATCTCCGAGAAGTTAACAAACGGGTACTAGATATCCACCCTACGGTACCCAATCCCTACAATTTGCTCAGCTCTCTGCCCCCGGACAGAACTTGGTATTCAGTTCTGGACCTTAAAGATGCTTTCTTTTGTTTGAGACTTCATTCCCAGAGTCAGCCCCTGTTTGCCTTTGAGTGGAGAGACCCAGAGAATGGTAAAGCAGGACAGCTGACCTGGACGAGACTCCCCCAGGGATTCAAGAACTCTCCCACTTTATTTGATGAGGCACTACACCGGGACTTGGCCCCTTTCAGGGCTAATAATCCTCAAGTGACTCTGTTACAATACATAGATGACCTTTTATTGGCCGCTAAGGACCCCCAAGATTGTGAGAAAGGAACAGAACGTCTCCTGGCTGAGTTGGGTAAGTTGGGGTATCGGGCATCTATGAAGAAGGCCCAGCTATGTAAGACTGAAGTGACTTATTTGGGTTACACCTTGAGAGATGGACAATGATGGCTGACTGAGGCCAGAAAGCAGACAGTTATGCAGATCCCAACCCCAACTACCCCTCATCAGGTAAGAGAGTTTCTTGGGACCGCCGGGTTCTGCAGGCTGTGGATCCCAGGGTTCGCCACCTTGGCGGCACCTTTATACCCCCTGACTAAGGAGCAAGGGGAGTTTACCTGGACAATCGAACATCAGAAAGCCTTTGAGGCTTTGAAAAAGGCTTTATTAGAAGCCCCTGCTTTGGCTTTACCAGATCTAACTAAGCCTTTCACTCTCTATGTTGATGAGAGGAAGGGGGTGGCTAGAGGAGTTTTGACTCAAACCTTGGGTCCATGGAAACGTCCAGTGGCGTATCTCTCAAAGAAGCTAGACCCGGTAGCAAGTGGATGGCCTGTCTGTCTGCGGGCCATAGCAGCTACAGCTCTACTAGTGAAAGATGCTGATAAACTGACTTTGGGACAGAAATTATCAATAGTGGCCCCTCATGCTCTGGAAAGCATTGTCAGACAGCCTCCCGATCGCTGGATGACTAATGCCAGAATGACTCACTACCAGAGCCTCCTTCTCACCAAACGTATAACCTTTGCCCCGCCGGCTGTTCTGAACCCTGCCACCCTGCTGCCCGAGGCTGACAGCTCCGTGATTCACCAGTGTGAAGAAATACTGGCTGAAGAAACGTCCAACAGACCGGACCTGACTGACAAGCCCTGGCCAGGGGTGAAGACCTGGTTTACTGATGGGAGCTGCTTCGTGGTTGAGGGTAAACGAAGGGCGGGAGCGGCGGTGGTGGATGGGAAAAGGACTGTGTGGGCCTCGGCCCTACCTGAAGGGACTTCAGCACAAAAAGCTGAACTGGTAGCCTTGACCCAGGCCTTGAAGATGGCAGAAGGACAAGGGGTGAATATTTTCACTGATAGCAGGTATGCATTTGCTACCGCTCATGTACATGGCGCCATCTAACGATGGAGAGGGCTATTAACTTCAGCAGGAAAAGAAATTAGAAACAAAGAAGAGATTTTGAGCCTCTTGGAGGCAATTCACCTTCCAAAGAAGGTAGCAATAGTTCATTGTTCTGGCCACCCAAAAGGGACAGACTATATTGCAAAAGGAAACCAAATGGCGGACCTGGAAGCAAAAAAAGCTGCCCAGGGACCCATGATTTTGACCATCAGAACCCAATCAAAGACTCCCAATCCCACTGAGGAACCAGGGACCAAGCCGGTCCTGTCTGAAGAAGAAAGCCTACAGTACCTATCTGGGATCCATCAGTGGACCCACTTGGGGCCCGAAAAGATGATGGAAATAGTAGCCCGGTCTCAGTATAAGATTCCAGGGTTGAAGAAACTAGCGCACAGGCTAGTGCGAGAGTGTAAGGCTTGTGCTTTCACCAATGCCAGCCACCATCAGGAGGTAAAAGGAACTAGACTTCGAGGAGATCAACCTGGTTCTTACTGGGAGGTCGATTTCACTGAAGTAAAACCTACCAGGTATGGTAACAAATATCTCTTAGTATTTATAGATACTTTTTCCGGATGGGTCAAGGCATTCCCAACCAAGAAGGAGACGGCTACTGTGGTGGCTAAGAAGATATTGGAAGAAATCCTACCCAGGTTTGGGGTGTCAAGGGTGATTGGCTCAGACAATGGGCCTGCTTTCATCGCGCAAGTAAGTCAGGGACTGGCCAAACTATTGGGGTTCGATTAGAAATTACATTGTTCATATAGACCCCAGAGTTCAGGACAGGTAGAGAGGATGAATAGAACCCTAAAGGAGACCTTAACTAAATTGACTATAGAGACCGGCGGGGGTGATTGGACAGCCTTGCTCCCACTTGCCCTGTTCCGAGTCAGGAACACGCCCGGAGTCCTGGGACTTACTCCCTTTGAGATTTTATACGGTTCTCCACCTCCCATTTATCAGACCCTTGAGAGTACAACTCGCCCTGATGATGGTTATATTCCCCCTTTTCCTATTCTAGCCCGACTAAAAGCCTTAGAGACTGTGAAAAAGGAAATCTGGGGAACCATAAAGAACTCCTATGCTCCTAAAGAAGATCCAGTACCACACCAGTTCGCGGTCGGAGACACTGTCCTAGTAAGGAGACATCGGACGGGCAACCTTGAGCCACGGTGGAAAGGCCCGTACTTGGTCCTGCTGACAACCCCCACAGCAGTGAAGGTAGACGGCATCGCTGTGTGGATCCACGCCTCGCCTCGCACGTGAAAAGAGCACCTCCGAACTCTCACCAAGATGAATGGACTTTGGAGCGGACTGGTAATCCTCTTAAGTTGCGCCTACGCCGTAGGCCCACAGATGATGGGGAATAATCCACACACTCCCCAAAAACTGACTTGGCAGGTCACCTCAATGACTGGAGAGGTAGTGTGGTCTGCCTCTAAGGTAGCCCCACCGTACACCTGGTGGCCCACTCTCACTCCCGATTTCTGCCAATTAGCAGCTGGATTAGACACCTGGGATATCCCTACCTCAGATCCTCAGAAGTTGCCCCTGGATGCAGGGCGGAGAATTTGCCCAGGAAGCAAATTTGGGTGCGGAGACCCGGAACGCAGATGTGAGCTAGGGAAATTAGATTTTTATGTCTGTCCCAGGGATGGTCGGGATCGAACAACAGCCCACCGTTGTGGAGACATAGGGAACTTATATTGTTCTGCTTGGGGCTGCGAAACAACAGGAGATGCTTACTGGAACCCCAGCTCCTCATGGGACTGAATTGTAGTACGTAAAAATTATGTCTATCCAACAGAATGTTTTAAATGGACTACAGAGAACCTGTGCAATTCAAGGTCCACCTGCATACCCTTAAATATAACTTTCACTGTCCAGGGACGGACCGGGGATACAGTACAGTGGTTAAAAGGGAGAACATGGGGCCTTAGATGGTATTTTCCAGATAGAATGATGAAGCGCGACTTAGGTGCTGCTTTCACTATTCAGTTGAAGATAGAGAGTCCACCTGCTCAGCCTATAGGCCCTAACAGAGTGTTACCAGAACAGAAACCCCTTTCGGTTGCCCCTGTGACCCCTTTAAGACCTTCAGAACTCAAACACCATACTGAGTACCCTCTGGGTACTCCTTTGACCTCTACTCCTTCTCTCCCAAGCACTGGACAGAGGCTGTTAAGTCTGATCCAAGGTGCTTTTACCATACTAAATGGGTCCCAACCCAATATGACTAAGTCCTGCTGGCTTTGCCTCTCTTCAGGGCCTCCTTATTGTGAAGGCATCGCAACAACTGGGACCTTTAATAACACCACTAGTCATGATGCCTGTGTATGGAATAGTAAAAATAGACTTACCCTTACTGAAGTTTCAGGTCAAGGGGTTTGCTTGGGAACCCCTCCCGCTGCTTATACACATCTATGCAATGAGACTCTTAAGAGTCCAAAGACCTCTGTCAACAGATTTTTAGTGCCTGAAATTGATAAATGGTGGGCTTGTAGTTCTTGATTAACTCCATGCATCTCCACCTCTGTTTTTGATGAGACCAAAGACTATTGTATACTTGTTCAGCTAGTTCCTCGAGTTTATTATCACCCTGCAGATACTCTTGACCACGAGTTTGGATACCCTAGACGCTTCCATAGAGAGCCCATTTCCTTAACCCTAGCTGTCATATTGGGGCTAGGAGTGGCTGCAGGTGTGGGCACAGGAACTGCTGCATTAGTTCAGACCCCACACTATTTTCATGAACTGAGAGCAGCTATTGATGTAGATCTGAGGGCCCTAGAACAGTCAGTATCAAAGTTAGAGGAATCATTGACTTCCCTCTCTGAGGTTGTTTTACAGAATAGAAGAGGATTAGACTTGCTGTTTCTTAGAGAAGGGGGACTGTGTGCTGCTTTGAAAGAAGAATGCTGTTTTTATGTAGACCATTCAGGTGTGATTAAAGACTCTATCAGTAAACTCAGAGAGAGACTAGATCAGAGACAGAAGGACAGAGAAGCACAACAGAATTGGTTTGAAAGTTGGTTTAATAGATCCCCTTGGATGACTACTCTGATATCCTCCCTTGCAGGCCCCCTTGTGATTCTACTTTTACTTTTAACCATAGGACCCTGTATTTTAAATAGATTAGTTGCATTCATAAGAGAAAGGGTAAGTGCTGTTCAGATTTTACTGCTACGACATCAGTATCAAACCCTCGGACAGGGAAACGGAAGCTATGAAGATATTGAAATGCAAGATTAAGATTAAAAACTATCATTTAGAGAAGTGGGCTTAAGTTTTTAAGATTAAAAACTATCAATAGGAGAAGTGAGGAATGTAGAGTGAAAATTATAGATACTGGGTATATAGAATCTTTTTTAGACATAAAATATTCTTTAGGCTTTCTTTGCAAAGACATGGAGTCATGAAGCAAGAATGTGGACAGACTAATTACGGGAACTGTCTGGAATGCAATTTAGTCAGGTGAAACCAAGCTGAGAACCATAGTGACAGGGCAAGGACGAAGTGACAGGGCAGGACTACATTCTTGAGAAAGATAAGCGTACAGAGTGTTTTCACCTGATCCTGACTCATGTAGGTTGGGTTCCTTTGGAATGTTCCACTATTTTTATGTTATACCACCCTAGCAACCCCCTCACCCCCTCCTCATTTCCTTGGTTTGTGGTTTTTCCCTTTAAAACC